GTACTTGTGTGCTTGTTTGTTCTGTCTAAAATGTTTATTTTGGAATAAAGAGGTTAACATAAAAAATATTTTTTGTCCGATTCATCGATTAATCGAAAAAATAATCGGCCGATTCATCGATTTTTAAAATAATCGTTAGTTGCAGCCCTAAAATATACACTTTTGTATTCTGGAAAAAGATAATTCACACTTCCAAGTATAATTAGCATTCTGGTATAAATGCATAATTTTTCAGCAGTTTCCACTCCTGTACCATCAGTCTACACTTACATACCATTACCTAAAAAATCAGAGCCCTGGCATGCGATCTGAGTGTTTCATGCTCGGGTTATTTGAGCATTGACATAATTGGCAGAAAAAGGTCATGCACCTGTTTCTCTGCCATAAAATATGTAATAAAGGGCTGATCACGGGTACTGCTATGTTGTTTTACATACTTAAAACCTTAATCTGCTGTCTTGTCACATATGTTCTAAAGTTAGGAAACAATGGAAGCTAGGGAAAGGGGTTTAACAAGAAGAGAATTATTATACCATTATATGTCCACATGAGCCTTGTGGGTGTCTTGTAGGCGTTTAAGCTTCAGTATTAAGTTAATCTGGTGTCATGATATCGTCAGAATTTGTTTTATTTAATTTCTATGGGTGAAATCCAATGATCCACGCTCAAAAATATTACAGCCATCCATAATAACATGCAGCATATGTTTTCACACCATGCTGAGTTCATACGCAAAAAGAGCTCTCATGTTTCAGAGGTTGTTTATTCAAGTTGAACATTTTTAATCATCAGTAAGGATCCTTATGCAATTATGGTAAAAACATCTATGAGAAAATGTGGCATTTTTTCTAAGCCCTGGTTTTAACCTTTAACGGCATAGGAAAACATTATACTGTCACTATTTATATAATACAGCATAAACCTTTACCTAATCTAGTTCATTCTCTATTAAAGCCACCTTGCATGATCACCTTCATGCCATGTTACATTTGTTTTGATAAAACCGTCTTTTTCCAGAATGAAAAATGAGTCTAACAAACAGGGTATGAGTAGTAATCCAGCAGGCTGCGAAGAACTGACAATGATGTTGGCCATGAGCCAAGGCCTTCTCTAAGACTCAGCATCATGAGACTGAGCAGAGGCATTTGATCAAGCTGCTACAAAAACCGGCGAACCCAGATAATCACTCGGTAATGTTCTGTTAGCTCTGATTGGAGCTGACCTTGCCAAGGGAAATACGTAGGTTAAATCTGAAAGAAAACAAACCCAGCTATTGAGTAGATGTGACTGAGAAATATTTAAACTGCTGCTTTTATTGATTTCCAGATGCAGATTTGGCATCTGGGAAGTTGATGCGGTTAAAATACCCGACTAAAAAGCAATTACTCAGCATTTTATTAGTCGATTAGCACTGAAATGAAAATGATATCCCTTCATTTTGCTGTACAACCGTCAATAAAGTTATATCAAAAAAGGATTTCTCCAAGACAGGATTAGGATTGTCCCATTTGTATTGCTAAATTATGATTTAATCAAAGATGAGTTTTTTCTATTATTCTAATTAAAAGAAAAGTATTTCAGGAAAGTCCATATAATGTTTTTTATTTTTTCAAGTTTTGGCATACTGACCAGAGACACACCTGTGGATGTTTTTAAAGGTAATAGCTCAACCAGACTTTCTTTAGTGGCATTATGGGTAAATGGAAAGAAATCATTCAATATTTAAGAAAGAAAGAAAATCTTTAGGAGGTGTGGATCCTTAGGTTAAATTCCCAGAAGTCTAAAAAGGCTATTTTCATTGGTCAAACAATCCAAAACAGGTGTAAAAAAACAAAACAACTAAAATAATTCTGAAAGGTGCGTATTAACCCCAGAACATAAGTACACGAGTAAGGCAAATTTTGAAAATACTGGGTGATGCTGGTAAGAGAAAGTTATTATTGAGTGAAACCAGTCTTTTACAGACATATGCAAAAAGGAAACTCATAGAGTGAGAAGCCAAATTGCAGGTTTGACTTTGGTTGCCAGACAGTAGGAAAGCTTGTAGGCGTAAGATCACCATCCTGAATTGAATTATGGGTTGGAAGCATCATGATGTTGGGTGTGTTGCTCAAAGAGGAATTGGTGATCTTTTTCAAAATGGATGACTAATAAGCAATTGACAATATGTCGAAATGTGAAAGTAACATTACAAAACATCAGCCAGCACATTAAAACGTGCAACAAATGAACAGTGACCTTTCTAAATCAGTTAAAAAGCTGCACATGGAGAAAAAACTTTCAGACTCTCCCCTCTGGCAGGAGACTGCCGTCCATTACAATCAAAACGTCTCACCACAAAAACAGCTTTTTCACACCTGCAGCTAGCCTCATTAACACAGCACACAGTGACAAGGCCTGTGTGTACTGCTGCACCTTATGCCTCATGCATGTCAAACACTTATTTGACAATAAAGTTTCTGTTTCTGAAAATCACCATTTTAGACCAGCCAGCACAAAGCCCTGATCTCAGTCAAATAGCAAATTTGCTGGTAGAGCTGAAGAAAATTGTGTAAGCAA